AGGAAGAGAAACAACTTCGCTTCTAAATAACGGAATCTGGTGATGTGTATTCTGTAGCAGAAGCCCTGAAGATCAAGAGTTTCATGCTGCCTCCTGCTTCCTGTTCTTCAGGAAGAATTATATGTGTCACGGAAAACTGTCAGTTTAAAACTTGCACTTTTGAATAGGACGTTCTTACCTATTGTTGTGTTTAATTCTCCAACAGACTACTTAAAATTAAAAGAACAAGCAAGACTGTTCCTACTCACTCTTTTTGTATTTGATGGGATCTTGTAGATGGTAAATTAGAGCTAATCTGTGGTGGTCTGTAGATTTTGGTGGGGCCCAAAGTGATTAAATGTTTTGGAACTTTTGTTGTAACTGACTTTCTGATTCTTGCATGGGCAATCTTTGGTGCCTGCTTGTTTGGAGGTCTGCTATTTGACAAAAATTATGCTTTTAGAAATGATGGAGTAAAAGAATTACCTAGTAGTGTATAGTATCTATTTAACCTCGCTTTTGGGGAGTTGAAAAAGGTACCGTAACCAATTTTTTATGTTGACTCTCTTGTCTAAGAAGTTATTATTGGTGTAATAGCATGCTAGAGGTAGTTTGGAGACAGGATAGTGGTTATTGAATCTGTGATGGAAGTCCTTCTGGGAGTTCAGGTAGTCACTCTGGAAGTTAAGGACAAGGTTACATTTTAAAATGTAGTTTCTTGTATCAGTTTAAAATTTATTTTGGAATTGTTTTCAGAGTGAACAGGCTCTAACACACACTTGAAATAGTACCCTAACTATTAAAGTCTGCGCCATATAAAACAGTCAAATGTTTAACTTAGATATAGAGCTATTGAACATGTGCCTCAGGCTTTTTGAAACAGAAATTATGCATACATCTTTCAGATATAGAGTTAATGTGTGTGCAGTATGTTATAGAGCATAGTGTTTCCTTGAACAAGGTCGCATTGACACTATATGCTCGTAGATCCACAGTCACCAAAAGTTAGTAAACACTAGTTGCTGAATTTAAAAGTTGTGATCGATCTACTCATAACACAATAATGCATACAGAACTTAATGTAACGCTTTTCATGTATGTTAAATGCTCTCAGCTTTCACAGTTTTATTACTTAATTTTCTAACTGTTGTTAGAAGTAAAAAATCTTTCAAGAATATAATGTTATGGTCACTCAGAATAATGTGTAAAATACTGTTTCTTAATGATTGAGAATGGGGTGGTTTAATTATGATTTTCTGAGGGTTTTATATATGTAAAATTTTGTTTAAAATACAAAATCCTTTAATGAAGGAGGATCATGCTCCAGTGATTTTCCTGGATTAATATGGGTAAAGTCATACCTAAATTATATTTTGAGAGGGTTTTCTGTGCAGATTTTTTTTCCCAATTTGACTGGTTCAGTTTCTGCAAACCAAGCCCATGTTATATATCACCTTACTATTGAATTTATCCTTTTAATTCAATTCAGAAGTGAGAAACAACAATTGTCTTGTGTGATGGTGACGAAAGGTGAAAGCTTGATACCAGATTTGCTGCAACGACGGTAACAAGGAATGTTCCATTCACGTTTTAAAAAACAACATGGAGTGCATAAATGCTGTCAGTGCCCTATAGTGGATTGGGTGTGGTTTGGAGAGAAATCAATTATTAATATTGCTATGATTAATACATGCCAAAGACCCATTTGCTTCAGTAATGGTTTTCAGCGGGACTCTCAACAAGCTCAGTGTGAACATGCTGCATGGTGCTTTTTCTTTTTTTTTTTTCCTTTATTTCCCTCCATAAAAAAGCATCTCCAGCAATATTTAGCCACAAGATAAATCTAAATGCTGGATTATACATGAAACTGAGTACAGGCCTTTGGGTTGAGCTTGTAAGTTTCTGTAAATAAATAGGGACCAGATGGTCTTTCTTTAGGTTAAAGTTCATTTGAAAGAAATTATGTTTCCAAGAAACTCGTGTGGGAAAATGAGCAGTACAGTTCCAGGAACCTGGGAATAAGTTCGTAATAAGAAACTTTCGTGTTCTATTGTTGGGTCATTTGTTGATTCATCTGATTTTTTGGAAAAATGCTTAATCTGTAAGTCAGTTTTCCTGTAAAAACTGAGTGATGTTTTGGGTGCATACTGAAGCTTACATCTAAATTGCTCCTAGACATTTATTTATAATTTGTAGTTTCTAATCAGGTGAGCTTATAAGTAACAGGATGTATTTTACTAGTTTGCATCAGAGTTCATGCAAAATAATTCAGAGTTTATTTGCATTTACTGGAATGAAACTTTCATCCGCATTCTTGCCAAAATACTTCTAAAGGAGGACGAACAGTTTGAAATGACTTCTCACAATTCAGGTTTCTCCTAGTCTCTTTCCATCAGTAGCACCTAACTAAAGACCTTTGGAGACATGGTGTAGAGGCTTAATCCCGTGGAAGAGTTGTCATATTGTATGAGAGACCACAACCTATATCCTCTCTGTTTCCTCATATTCCCCCAATCTTTTTGGTTGCACAAGTGAAAGGATTAATTTAGGAGCCCTGAAGAGGAAAGAGCAATTCTTGCCTGGAAAAGGGCTGGATCCTTGTTCTTTTTTTTTTTTTATTACTGTTCCCTGTTTTGCCCGTGTTGTGTGTTGAAAGCCACTTCCTTGCTGTAGACCAATGAGTGCTGCATTTGGTCTGCAGAGGGTTTGGGAAATGAGATGCTTGGCCTGGTCACTGATAGGTGTTACCTCCAGTTGCTGCAGACTGTTGCAAGGTTCAGGGAAGTTTTGCTTTCCTCAGTCAGGTACACTGGGATTGAAAGATGGCTTTTCACTCGGTTTTCCTTTGTTCCCTGGCCTCGAATTTCCCATGTCTCCTTGCCCTAAACTCCTGCAGAGACTCAGAAACAGGGACTTAAAGGTAAACATGCATTGCAGGACCCCTACTACTGTTACTGGCACACACACCCTTTTCATTAGGAGCAAAGCCTGAGTAGTGCAAGAGTGATGTTGCCATGCTACACAATGAAATTAGAGATGTAGCTGCCCATGGAAAAAAACCCAAACCAGTGAAATGGACTGTGTCTGAAACTGGTTGTCACTTGCTTATCTACAAGCTCTGAAATTTTAGCCTGAACTTCATTATTCAAAGTAATCTATTTCATAAGACTTACAGTAGACGTGACTTTGATTAATTTGTGCTCTTCATATTTTATCTTTGTTCAGTCATTACTTCCATTTTATTATTTTCATACCAGTTAGTCCTTCTTTAGCTGCAGACATGAGGAATATGTATTTTTCCAATTAAATAAATCACTTAAAGGATTATGAACTTCCCCCTTGTCTTCAGTAAGTTATAGTTTTAGACATGTCATTTTCTTTGAGAATTAAGCCATTAGCAGTTGTTGCTCTTTATCTTACTGTAATAAATAAAACCTGTTTATTTCACTGGCAGACTGGTAGTACAGTATTGTGCTTACCCTCATGCTGTAATGCACAGAGTGAAGCCTATGGCTAAAAATGTTAATGGTTTCTGTCAGTATTTTGAACACTTGTTTAGATGTTAGTTAAGCTCAAACATTCAGCTTCATGTTGAAGTAGTTCTCTTCCTGAAAACGCCAGTGATCTTCAATTGGGACTTCTGCCTGGTGCAGCACTTTAAGCCTGTAGCGTCTCTCTAGGCAGTCCATAACAAGTGGATATGTTGCAGGCTCAAATTTGTTGGCAAACAAATGAGGTGACTCGATAATCCACTGCAAATCCCCTAGTCCATAGACACAAATGTCTCTGATGTAATGACCTGCAAAGACAAATTGAAGGTATCTGAAAGCAGCAGAAAGCTGAACAGAATAATTTTAAAAAAATAGTTTCACTCTATAGTGTTACTAACAAAAATTACCTTTTGATTTCACATAGAGCATCATTGAAATATATCTGGAGGATAATGCTAGATTTTTGAACATGAAGGTGAGGGTTTGGTTTTGTATTTTACACAAATGGATACATGTTACCTCCAGCTGCTTCACTGACATGTTGCTTTGCTTAATATTGTGTCTTGTAGCTGGGCATGCTGAAGTTCTGATCTCCTACTTCTATTTGGATATCTGTTTAATCATGCAGTACTTTACTGTGCTGAGTTTATACAGTTACATATTTTAAATTTTTTTTGCATTCTTTCCATATGGTCAGCACTATTCTCCGTTTTTATTATTGTTCAAATTGAAGAGATTTAACCCAGTGTTGATGAAAGTACCTAACAAACACGCTGGTCAAGTAAACCCCCTACTCTTCACTGAAAACTGATCAGTCAAGTTAATGCATTGGTAATTGGAGGTTGAAAGAACGGTTGTCAGTATGTGGATACTGTGACAATCTCTGCAAGCATATATCAGAAGCTATTTAGATTGGATACAGTGGAATAATTTAGTAGGATGGCTTGCAGTTTTATTTGATACTTCCAAAACAAAATGTGTATGACCACTGTGGCACATTTAATAGCTAGTAATTTGGAATGAATGCTAGTCAGTGAATCAAATTTGAGTTCATGATCAAAATTCACATTACCTTTGCAGCCTTTGTGCATGGTTCCTTCTTGATCTTTCCATTTAATGGCTCTTATGTTTCCTTCCCAGTCTGCATTTGGTGTAGCCCCTGGAGCATCTTTAAAAACATAAGGTTCTGATAAGATTTCTTTCTACTTATTACAGGGAAAATTTTCACTGCAGAAGACTTTAAATGTAGTCACGTTAAGTATTTCTTTACAGATAATTACATAATAAGAATAGACATCACTCAGTTTTATTGCTTTTTTTATTCCTTGAAAGCATGAGCTTTTACGTAGCAAAAAAATTTATTTTTTTAAAATCAATATTTGTCTAGCCTTGTAGCTAATGGTCTGCACCATAAGTAGTACTTTTCTGAAATTGAGCTTTGTTTCTCAGCCATCAGGAGATGTGACTGTTTGAAAGGGCAGCATCAAGGCTGAAGAAATGACCATATTTATGCAATGTAACTCAACTAAGTGGTGGTGTTAAGCTCTGAATTGGAGCTCACTAGCTCTCCATGGCAGACCTTACAATGCTGTTGGTCCAGGGGTTATTCATAGTAAAAATAACATATGTCTTACCATTTAAACGATTCAGTGTGACCCAGTAGTGTTCATCCGGACTGTACGTGTCTCTTGACCATTCAAGCAAATCTTTTGCACGTGCATCAGTCAATGTAAACTCTGCAAATTCTCTAGTGAGTATGTAATAGGCACTACCAAAATATATTGTCAAATTATATGGAGGTTTAGCTTTTATATTCTTTGTTGGATACACGTATGACATTCCAGAACGTACATATTCTCTGTAACTAACCTGTGTCCTGTGTTTCATATGAAGTGGTTGGACTACCCCGGGAGTCATATTTTTACCATTCCATTTACTTTTGATGTATTGAATAATGTCTTTGTTTGTTTTAATGGGATAATCTTGACCACATAGATTAATAACGTAATTCCACTGAATTTTGGAATGAACTAGATCTCTCATGCAATTAATATCAGCTTGTAATCTTGAAAATCCTGCATAAACAACGTTTTCTCTTTTTGAGGAAATAAAAATATTTTCAAAGCAATTAACGATGTTTTGTACAGCAGCTTTATAATCTTTTGGTGACTTTTCATCAACATGTATGCAGTAAATATTCTGAGGCATATAAATAGCTCTTAGCAGCTTTACAAACATTTCCAGCTCCTTGTGAATTGTGATAATGTAAGCCAGTGAGAAATTTCCTTCTTCATCTGACAGTGGTCTTGTGATAAAATGCAGAGTCTTCAAAACCATGGAGCAGTTGCATGAAGTCTGAATGCAGCTGAGTGTTTTAGACTGGTAGGTATTCTGACAAAAGTTTCCAATTTTAAAGGCAGCGGTTTTACCCACAAAAAGAGCTGAACAAAGTTCATCCGGGTAAAAGCCACACTCTGCTATATTTGCATTAAATTTTTGTTCACTTGGTTCTTCAGAAAGTGTATCCTTTAGGTAGATAAAAGTGTAGATGAACGTACAGACAGCAATGCACACTAAAAATCCTGATTTTGTTGCATCAAGTGGGTTCATCTTTTATTTTCCAGATACTGTCTTTTCATCATAGTTTAATTAAGCGTTCAGATTATCTGAAAGGAAAAGTGAGATAAAGAGAGGAAGAGAACCTTTTTGACTTTTTTTTTAATAGATGACATATTAGTGTCACATTTGTAAATGATGAGATTACTCTCCAGTTACTAGGAGGGACTGTGTGTGTGCCCATGTGCATGCTCATGCTGCAGTGTACTCAGCCACTGGAAATGGTACTTGCAGAGCTGTGAAGCAGTCTTTCTGGGACAAACAAAATTATCCAGAGAACCCAAAATGGCTTTTTACACTTTATTACTGGAGCAAGGGGGGGGCTTTGCCCATCGGATAGAAGTTTCTTCTATTTTGAGGCAATGTTTGTGCCAGTAGGTGAGTCCAGTGCCACAGGTTGGTCCAGGTCTAGCTTTGGAATAGGGAAGATGTGTGAGCACTGTGTCCTAAGGGAGGGCTGCTGCTGAGATTTCCTTAAGGCCTGGGAAACCTTAAGTTCTGCCGGAGGACCAGAATTCAGTAAATTAAATCAGCAGAAAATTTATTAAATAAACAAAAGGAAGAGACAAAAATGTAATCCACAAAATGCACTGGGTTTTATCCTTATAAAGTCAGCAAATGTTTCTAACTCTTTGAGAGATTTTTTTTTTTTTCTCTGACATCTTTGTATTAGTGCTTTGGAAAACAGAACATGCGGACAACACTCACTTCTTATTTTTAGCATATGTGCATATCCTGACATAAGTACACTACTGCCAGTAGCATTCAGAGATAACTGTGAAATTTACATCAGTATTGGCATAGGAGTTTTTCCATTGTGATTTTTTTCTTACGTATATCTTGTTGAAAAGTCAGAAGAATGAGAGTGCAGCAGTCCTGAATCCCACAGCAATTACATGAAGTCTTTATCCTTGAAGCATTTGGTATAGAACTTCCTAAAGAAATTTCCAGGATTGGGGGAAGGGTCCATCTACTGCCATTAAGCTTAATAATTAAATTAAGAAAGATTTTATTTTTATTTTAAAGAGAATTAATTTTCTCTTATTCAATGAATTTGTTTTTAACAAAATTTGTATTTCACCTGTAAATATTTCATGCTTTGCAGCTGTCAACGTCACAAGGTATTTGTTATTACATAGGAACAGAGAACAAGCATATTTTTATAAAGGTAGTTTCTTTATAGGAATGCTACTGTGGTTAGAAGGCTCTACGTTTTCATTAGAAAGAAGTGGAAAATACTTTTTTAATGAAAACTCAGTATACATCTGTCTTAGAAGCCTGAAAATAATGAGAGCATTGCAGTTAAAGTAGAAATGAGGCATAGAATTTAAAAAGCATTGAAAATACAGAATTTGAACCAAGAGAATGGATACTCTATAATACCACAATTTTAAAATCTTATTAGGCTGTTGGGAAAGAATGTATTTATCTTACTGTCCTTACTAGTATGCACTGGATTTCATGCTGGAAGAATGCCTCTCTTCCACTTAGCATTCCAGAAAGTGGAGTTGTATGTTAGGTGGAAGGTTCATCCATTTTGCTTCTCTGTTCTGTCAGCAGTGCTCTTCAGTCTGCACTGAATGCATAGGCCAAAGAAAAACAGTAGGAAATCAGGTTCCAGAAGAATATTTTTTCTTCACAGCTCCTAAGGGATACATTTACTGGGTAAACAGGCATGATGTGAGTCTTTCATCCATTTGAATGAAAAACTTCAGCAAGTCAAATCCATGTCAACCTTTCAACATTGTGGGGAAAGGAGGAAAAAAGGAAGGCCGCTGAAAGGTGAAAGCCAGGATTTTCACAGTAAAAATGAAATTACAGCACACCAGTGCTGTAACCTGCTACCAGCTGACGATCAGAGCCAAGAATAGACTTGCATAAGGGCTGTTATGTACCCATTAGCGGAAGTTAGGGAGAGGGAGTGGCTGTTAGGGAAGCACTAATTTTTGTGGACCTGGAGTCAGAAAAACTGTTTTATTCTGAGTGAATAATTACAGGAGGAGCATTGAGGTTGCTCTGAATTAGTGAATGTGATGTGGTCTCTATGGTACGTCACAGGGAAAGTTTATTCTGGACATAAGAATTACACTGAAGACACTGGGCCGTTATAGAAATATTTGGGACGTCATACCTGCATACAATATAGAGCATCTGCACAGAATGAGTGCGCTTGTCAGTGTGGGGGTTTTTTTTCATTAAATACATCTTTGTGGACAGGTTGCAAAGGATAGTTCCCTAGGGAACCAAGCTATAACCTATTTGTTTCATACACTTAAATTTTTATTACCCTGCAAATAATAGCTTCCAGGGATGTTTCAGATTAAGTGTTTACTATGGATTTTTCCTATTGAACTGCATGGCATTTAGAAGCTATATCTTATATGGCAGTATAAAAGTACACAAACACCCCATTATCAGGTAAGAAGAAACAATTCCTACTCCAGTGTTAACATGTTTCTGGCGAATGACTAAATGATGAAGCCTTGCCTATGAGAACAGAACTTGACATCTTTCAGCCTCAGGGTATATTATAGAATGAAAGAATTGGCTTTCTGCTAGTGTTTTACCAGATTTAGAGCTAGAATTGCAGCTGTTAGTCCCATTGTGTATGAAATTTGCCACTTAGAATAATCCTCTAACCTCTATGCTATTGTCTGCTGTCAAGGACTATGCTACAGTATTTCCTCCTGTCCTTGAAGAGGAAGATACCGTACTGTTGAGAAGATCCACTGTCCAGGCATAACCCAGTCTATGCCTGTCTTGCCTTTTAATTTTATTATACGAGTGCCATTATAGGTACTTACTGTTATCAGAACGTCTCTCTGAAACTCAACCTTTTCTATGTTATGGATAGGTTTTCTAAATCTGGAGGATGACGTTGTCTTAATTTTTAAAAGTGCCGAGAGTAGTGTTTGACATTCTTCAAAAAACAACCTGTTTATAGGGATTTTCAAGTACCTTTGTGGCTGCTTTTATGGATATTACTTAACGGAAAATTGTTGTTGTAAGCCTAAGCTCCTCCATCTCAATTAAAAAGGTGAACTCTAGCGAAAAGTGGAATTGTGTTTATGCCTGAAAATAAGCCTGTGAAAAATCATCTTAGTTCATCGTGACCCCATTAGCTATATACTTTGCTGTGGATTTCATAGCAACAAATCATTGTACAATTCACTGTTTCTTCCTACCATAGGGTTTTGCACCTCTAAATATTCTATTTTGTCTGTACTCTTTATATTTGCTTAATATTAACGTTTAGATAAAATTTAGTTCGTATGACTTTATAATTCAGTGAAGCAAATGACTTAGGAATACTTCATCTTTTAATAAAATGGTTAAAAGGCATTAACTCCTTATTTCCAAATCTTTCTGTGTCTGTTTTTATCTAAAAGGTGTTTATGCAGGCATTACTGTAGACACTTTATAAGCAAGTGAATATTCAGTCCCCTAAAAACTTCATGTTAAAATCGGCGCTTTTAACTGCTTTTTACTTTGCTTTGCTTTTTCCTTAAGCCTGGGTAAGCATGCGGAGTCTGCTGCTGTGTTGTGACACGTATCAAGTAAAAGAAAAAATTTCTTCATCAAGCCGAATTAATACTGCCTTAGAAATTTTAAATCATTCTTACTTAAAAATATTGCATCGGTATTTACTGATAAATTTAAACAGATTTAGGGAGGTTTACCTGTTCATCTTTGCTATTTTTACTGTTTTCCTGTTTGTTTTTTTCCTTGCGTAGTGTATTTGACCTCATAACAATTTAAAACAAATCCTATGAAAGCAATTTAAACCATTAAGTTATAGGGCTGTAAAAAAATTAAGTTGCTTGCAACAGAGCATAACAAATATTCATAAGTATTGCGATTTTTACAATACAAACAATACTAGTAGTAGTGACCTCCACCCTACTGTACATCTGGGACAAAATTAAAAAAAAAAAATTATTACCCTTATTGCAGATTTGAGTATTTTTTGAAGTGAGATGGTCTTCCTGAAGTGAAAATATTTTTCACTTTACAAAAATTACAACATGTTTTGTGTAATGAAAGAAAAGCAAAAACCTGAAGTCCTACAATCTAATTTATTCAGTCTTACCTTGTACAAAATTAGCCAGAAGACGGCAGCATAATAAAAATAAATAGCGAGTCCCATTTTCCTTCAGCAGAATTCAGACAGCATTCTTCATTCTGTCGCTTGTGTAGAGATCTCGTGTAAGTGAAAGGGGTTAAACATTAACGTGAATGTTTTCATTTAAGACTTCATCTGGTTTCCCGAAATGCTTAGCATATTTATTCTGCAGTAATGGTGTTTAGCTTCAGAAATGTCCTCTGCTTCACAATAATGAGAGAAAACTTGAGCTTCTCCAAATTTCTGTTGCCACTCTTTCTGAGACAGCCTTTAAAGGACTGAAATCAGACTTTCAAATATGTAGAGTACATTGCTGATGATTATAAATAGTATTGCTTTACCTCAGAGGCTTTAACCTCTGCACTGCTAACGGAGCATGCTGGATGATGAGAACTGGAAAGGAAACCAACCCTCTCCTCCTCCTCCTCCTCCTCCCCCGGTTCTTAACTGTTTGCCTGCTGAAACTTTCCAATTTGCAGCAAATAAGTATAGTAAAGAATTGCCTCTGGTCGTTTCTAGTAGCTGGAAGCCTAAAAGATAATAAATTAAATATCTCCTTCCAAAGCTGAATGTTTACTGTGTCACCACTTTTATAAAGATTCTTGGGGTTTTTAATAAGTGAAAAGTTAACAGCTTAAACTTACTGGAATTAGGAAGCTTTGGGGTTCTAGAAACGAGTGAGAAGGCTGGCGTATTTTGGATGTGTTCAGATAAAAATAGCATCTCGGTCAGAAATAAACAGAAAACCTCAAAGTAAATTAAGGCACAGCTGCAGGTATGGCAGATAGAAAATTATCATTGACTTTAAGGGAAGCTCTGTAAATAGAGGCTTCTGCTTGGACAGTATTTTTGTAGTAGGTGCTACAAGTTCTGAGTGAAAGTTCACATTCTGTGAATTAGTATGTAGGAGACTTTCTACGCTTCCCAAGTTATCATTTACTCTTTGCCCCATTGTATGCCTGAGTAGGGTGGCAATGTCAAAAATTGTGTTCCTCAAATCTTATACTACTGAACTTGTAATGAATAAACCTCTGGAAGAGTATCTCTCTTAAAACATGTTTTTAGTTAAAGATTATTGTCTCTTGTAACAGTTAAAACGTGAGCTTGCGTGGCTGGTAAATGAATGGTGATATGGTCCTTGGTTGAATGGGGTGTCTGTTCAATCCTCTTTCTAAATACTACCCTATTTAAAGAGGGACAGTCAGGCTGTGGTCATACGTGTTCCATAATCTGGTGGGAATTGTTTTGGGAAAATATTCATGTCTTTATGCATTTCCTACTAATGGTCATATTTAGGAGGACTGCAGGAGTTAACTTACTGTTTATAATTTGGGAAAGAGGGTTCACCTTTCTCATAGGAGATTAAACTGTAACATTGATGTAAACGTTTAGATATGAAAATATATTTGCCTGTTGTTTATTTGTATTATATTAAGACTGGAATAGTCATGGATGGAACTAAATCTTAGATGCTGTTAAAAAAAAAAACTGTCAAAAGTAGTTTACAGCAAGAGATAAGGTACAACCATTGTCTTATGTAGCTGAAAATTGAGAAGAAACTGTAAACTTTAGAGTTCAGGAAATCATCTTAAACTAAGATTTCATTATTACTAAAAAAACCTCTTGTATTTTATTCTCTAAGAAAGATAAGCTATCCTACTATATTAAAATGACTTGAAATTTAAAAGGTCTTCATTATTTGAAAAAGTAATTTCACTATTTCTTTTACTAGTTTAAAAGATTATACCTAAGCTAGTATGTCTTTTACAGCTCATAATACCTTTATTGTTCTAATGATTTTAGGTCTTCGGGTTGTTTCTTGTTTTGGTTTCTTGTAAAGTTGATTTGTGTGTGTGTATGTATATAGACATGGGATATGCAGGGTACATAAATTTATGAGTATCAGACTTTTGAAGACTTTTTGATCATACTTGCACACCCTTTAAAAAATTCCTTAATGCAAACATGTTATACCATTTAGACGTAAACGGGTTTGAACATGCTTTTATAATTGGACCCCGAAAGGGCTTTTAAACAAAAATCAAGCTGCTTGTCCAGCATCTCCTTCAGTTAACATCTCACTCTTCTTCAATTACAGATTGAATCTTGCATTCAGATCTGCAAGCTGCTGTTCTAATGCTTTTGTCTGTTTCAGAATAGTTTTCAAGTTCAATCTCATTTAGGAATGTCTTCTATTCAAGGTGCTGCAAAAACATCAAGGAACTGCAGCAAGTACCTTTGTATGTATTTAAAGTCCCAATATAAACAAGGTACACCAAGGGAGACCCTGTGATAATCATAAAACAAAAATCTGCCCCAGAAGACCTTAATCTGAAGGAACAATCTCTCTGACTTTGCAAAGCTGAAATTTCTTTCTGCTTTTTATCTCAGCATTTCAAAACGTTGAGATAAAAATCTTTCCTTTTTTGTGTGAAGGGATAGTGAGCTTTTTAAAAAAATCAGAATTAAAGCTTTGCATCCAACAGTACCGACAATTAAAAAATGTTTGATGCACATGATGATGCAACACTAAATCGTACCTACTGGAGTTAGTGAAACCTGGGAAGGTGGAGTTGGTTCTATACCTATAA